GGGCTAACCCCTACAGCAGCAGATGCTGCAGGTTGGGCCTCTGTTCCTGAGGCGCCTTCTTGGCCTTGTGCGAAGGTAGGCCTTGAAGAACTTCCATCATGTCCTTGATAGCCTTCGAGAGAAGAACTATCTCGTGATGTTTGAACATTCTCTTCCTCTTCCTCAGCTTCAGAGGCTGAGTAAATGAAGCGGATGTGTGTCCCCTTCGGTAGATCAAATACCGAGGGGAGTGGTGCTCGAATTGAAGATTGCTCTAAATGATCTATGGGTTCAAGATCAAAAGCAAAGAATGCTTCTGTGTGTGATGGGTTGAGGCGAGCCCTGAGGCGAAGGGGCTCTTGTCTCTTCATCACCTCTCTGTTTAGAGAGGGGTGATGGTAAATGAGTTTCCTCGGCTTGTTCATCTCCAGAGGCCCGAAGAATGGCCTCTGGATAGCTGGCTGGGGTTGGGGTGGGACTGGGTCGTCCTGTTTTTATACCCCTTTGGCTTTGATCGCCAGGGGTAGTAGATGTGGGTGCCCTTTGGATAGTAGGTTGAGGAATATTTTGAGTAAGGCCAGGGGAAGCACGAGCATCATCATCTTCATCATCCGATGAAGAGGATGCTTGTGCGCCCTCGCTTGGAGGGGGGGACGGCTCTAAGTGCTCCGGAGTAGCTGCCCACGGTTCTTGGGACAACATGGAGCGTTCATAGGTCTTGCATATCTCACTTGTCGATGGTATGACAGTGAGCATAGCCCAGGACAACGGTCGGTTGATGCTGTATCCTTCCTTCGAAAGGGTTGGGCAGTGTCCTTGCATCTTGTAGATTGGGGTGAAGGGCTCCACAGCAGGTAGACCGTGTTGCACCATCGCGTCCCCAATGAAGAGGGCGAGGAATTGGGGAAAGAGAACTTCAGATAGTGGCTTTCCTGCGGCTTGAAGTTTGCACTTTTTGATCACAGCCGCATGAAATCTCGTTGTAAATGTGGAAGGCGTAGTCGAGATTTATGTTAAAGAAAAGCCCATACATAATTGTCATTATGTTGATATTCCTTTGGTCTAGGGAACCTAGCTTGCAAGTGAGGGATCAGTTGAGGATGGAGAAGAACAAACTCCACATTGGCGGGAGGAATTGTCTTTTGAAGTCTGATACATTTCGCAGTTCACGATTGTACCCTAGCATCTTGATGAACCTGAGGATGTCGTCGGAGGTAGGTGGTTCGTCATATTGCTCGATCCCTAGTTCCCGTCTTGTTGGAATGCACAGAACCCTCGAGACTTTTGTTCGTGATATTTTTAGCGAACAAATCATGTCATTTGGGGCGTCTTTATCCCCCATTATTCCGTAACTGGAAGGATCAAACTCGCAGTTCTGCCAATATTGTTGAACGTACTTTAATGGTACGTTTGGGTTTACTAGAGTTAGGGCAGGGAGAAGGATACAGTTCTTAAAGAACTCAATCATTATCGCAAATCTGTCATCAAATAGGGTGTTACGCAGTTCAATCATGTGGTTGTTGGGTTTCATGGGTAGGAAGACGATTGCGCGGCTGTCGGCGCCTGTGGATTGGATACGGCTATCATTGTTGTTGGATTCGTCAGAAGCGGAGGAGGCCATTTTTGTGGAAGTTGCAGGTTTTGAGTTCGTC